TTTTTTTTTAAAGATGACCGGTAAGGGGATCTCAACCCTTGGCTTGGTGTTGTCAGCACCACGCTCAGCCAGTGAGCAAACCGGCCATCCCTATATAGGATCCGAACCTGGGGCCTTGGTGTTATCAGCACCGCACTCTACCGAGTGAGCCAGGGGCCGGCCTAAAGAGATTCTAGATTCCATAGCGTGCCTCGGGGACCACGAGGCAGAGACAGGAGGGCAGGAGGAGGGCAGAGGAAAACCTTGCTGCTCAGGCTGCTTCTGAGGCCTTCACTTTGGGGTGTTGCTTTCCGAGCCCTAACGCTGCCAATGAGCCAAGAGCATCATCACCTTGGAATCTGTAGGATCCAGGGAAGACGTCCCTCCTACCCCCTAACGGTTTGCTAAATAACAGCTGACAAAACTCAGATTAACTAGGAGTTTCATTTAATGTGCACAGCACAGAGGAATTACGGAAAGGAAACCTACACCCCTGCACGGAAAGGGAGAAGGGGGTGCATGAGTGATTCTCACGGGGACACAGCGAGCCGGGGACAGTGTGTCCGGCAGAGCAGACCATGAACGGTCAATGATTTCCTTCCAGGCACAGGACGGGACCCAAACACTGTGACAGTCCGTCCTGAGGTGCTGGCAGGCTCCGGGCTTCCGTCCACTGGGCTTGAGCAGAGAGGCCTTCGCTTCTCGTGCAGCGTTCACGGGGGCCTGCCCTGCCTCTTCTCCAAACACGCGAGGGACTTCCAGGCAGGAAGCGCATCTTCAAGCCGCGCCCTCAATGGCAAGGACAGGACGGCACTTGCAGGGCTGCTCGGGAGGGCCAGAGGACACGCGCTCCACGGCCGCTTCCCCGGCCTTCTCTCCTCAGCCCGCGGTCCCGCCAGTCGGCTCGCAGCCCAGGGTCCACAGCCTCCTTCCCGCGCGCCGCGCCCCGCCTACCCGGCGAGGGGACGCCGCGCACCGCCCACAGGCGGGGTCCGCGCGGGCGTGCAGCGGAGGCGGCAGCCACGG